CTCTTGCCCTTCTAGGATGTCAGAAGCATGCTGAGCAGGTGCGTGGCTCCTTCTCACTCCCACAGGTGGGCAGGGGCCTGGACACTGACATGGCCACATCTCCTGGGGCACCACAGTGCCACATGCAGGGCAGGGTCACCGTTGGGATACAGATCTTTGAAGTTCCATCTTGAGATCATTTAATACAAACTCTGAGATTCTTCCTGGGGTGGGAAGGATCCTGTCTGATCCCCAGAGAAGCTCTAGATGCTTCAGAGCTGCAAAACATGAATCTCTGCTATGGATGGAGTTTGTGCTGTTACTGTCTGTGCATGCCCATTTCCTGGGGCTGAGGTACAGCAAGGGAATCAGTCCCTAGGTCTGTCCAGCTAATAAAGACTGCTACCACAAATCTGAATTACAGAAGGAAAAGAGAATGACACTGAATCATCTTTCCCAGGTGCAAGAAGGAGCAGTTCCAGCTGCCAAAGGGGATTTCCCCTGAGCTGCAAAAAATACTCAACAGCTTGTCTGAACAAACCATAAAGAAGACGGCTAGCCCATTGCCAGGTACTGGGGAGGGACATTAGGGGATCAAAGGGATGTGCTCCTGTGTGTGGGGAGAAGACAAGCCGTGGGCAGTTAGAACCCTGCTGCACATATGCCCCCAAAGGACACGTACCCATCCACACTGGGGTTAATTTTGGCACTTATGCACAGTTTACAATCCTGTTGCACCTTCCACAGAGCTGCTGTGCATGCCCAGGGGGCTGCCTGCTGGCCATTCAGCTCTCTGGCTCCATGTTGATGTTGCTAAATGTGAAACCAACACTTGAAGTCCAGAAGGAAGTCTCCCAAACTGCACATTTTAGCCTAGTAGCCTAGTGATTGTGGCGCTGTCCTAGGAAGCAGAAGATACATGTTCCAGCCCCCTCCATATTGAGGGGATTTAATGAGCATTTTTTAATTTCCCAGATCACTGCTAGAGCCACCAGGCCACAAAGGTTACACCTTTTCATATAATCTCAAGCCCTCCTCTTGAAGCTGAGCCCCTGCACCTCTCCTTTAACAGTCATTGGATAAAAGGGACGCAGAGCAGCAGGGACGTTTCTTTCCCATTGGAGCCAGGCTCCTGGCTGAACCCAGGACCTGCGTTTTTTAAGGTCGGCAGGCAGCTTACTGTGCCAGTCGCCTTCTGGATCTGTCTTCCTCCTGGCCCCACGTTTCTCCTTGGCTGCTCTTGAAGCTAACTCCAAAAGCCCCGAACTTCGCCTTCCTGCCAGCCTCATTTCCTGGGGACAGAATCCGATCCTGGTCCTGGCTGTGGGTGCTTGGATCTGAGCTCAAACTGCACCATGGAGTCATTGGGAGTGATGGAATCGTGCACTCCAGCTTCCTGCTCTCTGACCCAGACAGGATCCCCTCTCCCAGTCTCCATGACTGCACCTCTGTCTCTCTTGGAGAGGAGCCTACTTGGCAGCCAACCTGTCATGTAGTGGTGTGAGCATGGGGCTGAGGAATCAGACAGACCATTTTACACTACTGTAAGCTGGAGAGTCCATGTCACCTCTTACCTGAGCATGTACCTAAACTTCTCGGTTACCGCGATGAGACAGGAGGTCCCTCCTCCAGGGCTGCTGCTAGAAACTGGTTTTTGCCTGGCTAGAATGGCAAGCTGTACGCTCACCTAGGTACATGCAGACAAAGCTGCGTATCTGGCCTCCTGGGCCGCAACCTACTGTGCATGCTAGGTAGCACGTGGACCCTTCTGTGTCCATGCTACCTGAGAAATGGGATTGTCACCTGTGGGTAAAGGCCAAAAGCTTCAGTTCTGTGATGGCCACAAGGATGCATCAAGGCAAATATGGTTTTGTCTTCGTTCATTCTTTGCTTCTATCAGAGCAAGAAAATTAAGATAGAGGGCCAAGGATGGTGAGGTAAGGTCAGACAAGGGATAGAGGGAGTGCCTTGAAGGAAGCTCAACCTCTGCTGTTTTTAATCCTTGTAAGGGTCACTAGAGCAGAGGGGTAAGTTGGCCAACAACTCCTTGACTTCTCCAGACCGTGCCAAGGTGTGTCCTGACCCCTTTAACCATGGGATAAAGGAGTTTGTAAAGCACATCCTTGTCAGCTACCCCACCAGTATTCCTGTGTACATCCTCTATGACCATTTGTTCTTTCAGAGACTCCGCAATCTCCTCTGGAGAAGGGCTTATACTCCAAGGGTAAGTGCAAGTGAAGATCTGTTTGCATTCCCAGAAAAGTCCCACTGCAGCACTCCACTGCCCCTCACATGTGAAACACTCTTGTAGCCCAATGCCCAAACCCCATATGCTGTGACCTGGGGGGTTTAGCTGGGATTTTCCTGACTTGGCTTATGGATGTGGAAAGCATTCTCCTGCTTTCACTTGGGACAGGGGCTTCCCTCAGTACCAGGCTGAAGAACTGCAGGGGCATCTCTGCCCAGCCTCGGGGGTGCAGGGCTAAGGCAGCTCCAGGGGCCCAGGACAGTCCCAGGCAGAACAGGGCTACTGGGGAGGGTGAGGAATGGCCCCGGCCTTCTCCCCATCCCAGCCTGACACTGATTCTCTCTCCCAGCGACGGTGACTCTGGATCCAGACACGGCTCATCCCTGCCTTTTCGTTTCTGTGGATCGGAGAAGTGTGAGATATGGAGACACACGGCAGCGTCTGCTCAATAGTCCTGAGAAATTTGACACTCAGCCAAGTGTCCTGGGCTGTGAGAGATTCACCTCGGGGAGATGCTGCTGGGAGGTGGAGGTGCGGGAAGGGGCATTCTGCGCCATGGGGGTCGCCAAAGAGTCTGTGAAGAGAAAGGGAGAGATCTGCTTTAGCCCTGAGGAGGGGATCTGGGCTGTGAGGCGTGGGTTTGCTAAGTTTGAGGCTCTCACTGCCCCTGACCGCACCGCCCTGTCCCTTCGCCAGGTGCCCAGCAGGATCCGTGTGCGTCTGGACTATGCAGGGGGGCAGGTGTCATTTATCGATGCTGAGACTGAGGCCCTGATCTTCACCTTCCCACCAGCCTCCTTTGCTGGGGCCAGAATCCAGCCCTGGTTCTGGCTGTGGTCGGTTGGATCTGAGCTCAAGCTGCACCACTGAGTCATGGGACGAAGGGTGGGAGGAGATGTCCCATGGGGAATGATGGAATCGTGCACTCCAGCTTCCTGCTGTCTGGCCCACGTGGGATCCCCTCTACCAGCTCCCATGTCTACCTTTGTCTCTCTTGGAGCAGCAATAGACAAAAGGGCAGAGCCTGGATATAAAAGCCCATTGCAGCAGGTGTCACAAGGTCAAGTTTTCCCTGCATGCTGTGGCTCTAGAGGCCTCCTGCAGAACTGGCTATGCAGTCTCCCCTGCAGGAAGCCGCTGAATGAGGAATCAGTGTCCTGCTCCCAGTCTAGGGCAGCCTGCTGGATCTCTGCAAAGCTCTGCAAAGTGCCCCTTGGCATCCACTGGGCAGGGAGGCCCCCGTGGTAGGACATATTTAAATCAGGAGCCACGTCCCCTGGGCAGGGGGTTTCCCAGAGCCTGAAATGCCTGAGATCCCATTCAGGGGCAGGTGCCTCCCTCCTCTGGCTCTGGTTCCTCTGTCAATACCAGCTCCATTGGGGACTTGAACTATTTACAACAGCAGATATTTGTATAAATGTTTTTAACTTAGAATCATAGAAAATTAGGGTTGGAAGGGACTCTAGGAGGTCATCTAGTCCAACCTCCTGCTCAAAGCAGGACCATCCCCAACTAAATCATCTCAGCCAAGGCTTTGCTTAGCCAGGTCTTAAAAACCTTCAAGGAGACAGTTCACTACCTCTCTGCGTAACCTGTTCCAGTGCTTTACTACCCTCCTAGTGAGAATTTTTTTCCTAGTATCTAACTTAAACTTCCCTTGCTGCAACTTGAGACCACTGCTCCTTGTCCTGTCATCTGACACCACTGAGATCATCTTTTTTTTTTTCTTAATACTTTGGCCCCTTCGTCTTAAATCTACCTTTTCTCTCCCTGTATCTCACCTGCCCTGGTTCTCTCCCATGTCCTGGCTGAAGTGGGCAGGATGTCCCCTGTGGGATGGACAACCATTTTCTTTGGTGTCATAGTTATCTTTAAACCATCATAAGTGCCCTTAAAACAGGATCATTCATCCATTGCAGGGTGTTAACCTGTGGTAAGGACTTTAAACATTTTAAAGTTATGCTGATTCAGGCAAGGGTTATCTTTTTTTCCATTTTACGCAAGTCACTGAGGGTATTGTTAATCTCTCTTTTTGGGGGGGGAGCTCAATTTCTTTCCTTCAGTAGCCCAGGATGCACGATTCCTAGTCCTCCTCACTTTGCTCTATGGGCAAGCTTTCAACCTTCTGAATTCAGCTACCCAGGGGCATGATGCTGGCCTGAAGCCAACACCCTGTCCCAACCCACCCTGAGCACTCGGTGCAGCTCAGCAGTTCGCTACTTGCTGTAGCACACCTGTGCCCATAGCAAGAGCAATCCTAATACCTACCTCCATGAAGCCCATGAACTCTGACCCAGTATGACATGCATGTAGTGAGCTTGCTGGGTCTCAACTCTGCCCTGGGGTGAGCACTAACCCAATTCCCATCCAGCCCAAGCCCAATCCAGTGAAACATGCTGGATTTTGGCCCTTTTCATTCCTTCTTTCACTGTGTAATAGCATGGCTTGTTCCCTTAAGAGAAGGCAGCTAATTAGACTGAAGGGCTGCAGCTGGGGGAAGGCTAAGGAGGCTGTGGTTTCCTGGGAATCAAGAAACCTAGCAGGCAGAGCTGGAGTGGGGAGAAGCCCCAGAGGTAGGGTATGGTTGTGCTTTGAGGGCACGCATGGGAAGGAAGGCTGTGGTTATAGTGGACCCATCTCAGGGACCCAAATGATGTGTTTTCTATTTGTGAAGGACTGTTTGTATCTGGGACAGGTTCAGAGGTACTGCAGGCAGCAAAGGCCAGCAGGACCAGGGTCCATTATAGTAAGGCTGCTCAGAGATGCTCAAGGAAGGGACAAAGCCTTGTTGAAAGAGCCTGAGGTGGCAACCTGCTACACGCTGTCCTCTCTTCACTTCTCCTCTCTGATCAATCACTTCAAAGAGCTTTTTTTCAAGACTTTTTCCTTCTTGCATGTGACTCTGGCTGGCCCCTGCTAACTGTGGAGTGAGGGAAGCCACAGCCCCGTAGTGGTTTCTTCACCTCCAAGTTACATGGCACAACTCCTTCTCTGGGGTGAGAGAGGAGGCAGGAGAGAGTCCTGGCTCCTGTCCAGGCTTCTGCTAGATGGGTCTAGTGGAAAGTCACAGTGGTGCAGGTCTGAGACTGCCTTAAGCTTTAACCTGGGATTGCTCTGAAACTATTCTAAATTTACTAGCAAATTGCCCATCAATAATGATGGGGGCGGGGGGAGCTGCAGGGATGAAGCCCCACATCTGGCCCTGCACTCTCCCTTTACTGCCCCTCCCCCATGCTCATTTGGCCCTGCTTACCCCCCACCTCCTCCCATCACGTTGGGTCTGGCCCCATTCCTCCCCTGCTTTCCCCCCCACCCCGCTTCAGGTTTGACCCTGCTCCCTGCCGGCTGTCCTGGCAGGCATCTGGGCTGGGCAGGGGGGAGACAATGCCACCATGATCCCCCCCTTTGCCCTCTGGCAGGGAGGCAGGGAAAAGCCCCATTGCTCTAGCAGCCAGGGCATGTTTCCTGCCACCAAACTTCCCTGGCAGCAGCACAAACTTGGTCCCATGCAGCCCAGGCTGCCCAGCCAATCGCCGCCTGCCCTCTTGGCAGCACATGTGCAGTTGGCCAGAAGCATTACAGACAGACAGACATACAGACTAAGCCTTTTATTATATTAGACTGATGGCACAACATGCCACAGATTTAAAATGCCTTAAAGGTAATGTGTAACAGCGCCCCTAGCCATTAACCAATATGAGGAGGTGTTCAGCCTTCAGGGAACGGAAACCCCAGCTGCAGGTATGCCACAGTTAATAGCCTGGCTGTAAGGCTGGGGATCAGGCACAACTGATGGGTAAGTGAATGGAGAGCCACAGAGCGGGTCAAGAGCTCCAGGAGCAGGCTGCGAGGGGGAGAGAAGTGAGGGGTGTGTGGTGCTGAGGAAGGCAACCCAGGCTCTGTGCTTCTTTCTCAAGGTCTGAAGGAAGACAGAAAGCTTTGGTGTGGTTTGGTTTGTGGTTTGCCCACTTGCTCGTTTTGTTTACTACAGGGTCAAGGTTGCCCCATGTAACATAAAACTATCTGGAAATCCTAAACGCAGAACTGAGTGCTCTTGATAAGGCAGCTGGGAGAGTGACCTGCTTTTACCCACCTAAAAGGAACTTTAGTTAATAACCTGGAGCATGGTTTCATTTATGCAAGAGCCTCTTTGCCTCTCTCTGGAAGTGGCATGGGAGCTGCTTAGGGTAGGATCTCCCTGCTACCATTGTGTGAGTGTGTGGGGGAACCAATAACTTAGTGGGCTGTATAGTGTGTTGCCTGTTTAATAAACCTATTATTTGGATCCCTGAATTGGGGTTTGTCTTACTGCAGTCCCGGCTCTGCTCCAATCTCTAACCCTGCACCTCTCCTGGCCTCCCGGCTTCTCTGCAGGCTTCCTGCTCCCCCAGCTCCCCACTGCTCCATCACCTCCACCTCCTGGCTTTCAGCTTTCTTTCCCCAGTTCTTACCTGCTTCCATCTCCTGGCTCTCTACCCCAGCTTTCCCTGGTGCCTCTCTGGCTTCTCTGCCAGCTCTTTCCCCCCCACAAGCTTCCTGCCTCTGCTCTCTCAGCTCTACAGCTGGCTCTCCCAGTCCTGCCTCTACCGCCTCTCCACCCAGGGCCCCAAGTGGCCCCTAGTTACCAAGCACCCCAATTACCCCCAAGTGCCCTCTAGTGTTAACACACAGGCACTGAACTGCATGTTTGTGTGTGTGTGTGTGTGTGTGTGTGTGTGTGTGTGTGGACCCATAGTGTCGTATGTGCAGTGTACTATGGCCTTGACGTCACCTTGATACGCTGGCTGGGGAACTGGCTCTGCGGTAGGACCCAGAGGGTGGTGGTTGACAGGAGCCAATTGCCGTGGTGCACTGTGAGCAGTGGGGTCCCACAAGGCTCTGTCCTAGGGCCTATACTATTTAACGTCTTCATCAATGATGCAGACATTGGTGTCAGAAGCGGACTGGCCGAGTTCGCTGACGACACCGAACTCTGCGGTAAAGCATCCACACCTGAGGAAAGGAAGGTGATCCAGGCAGATCTGGACAGACTCATGAAATGGGCGGACAAGAGCCTGATGGTGTTCAACATCAAAAAATGCAAGGTTCTCCACTTTGGGAGAAAAAACCTGCAGCATGCTTATAGGCTTGGTAGTGCTACGTTGGTTAGCACTACAGATGAAAGGGACTTGGTGGTTATGGTTGACCACAAGATGAACATGAGCCTTCAGTGTGATGCTGCGGCTAGTAAAGCGAGCAAAACGCTGGCTTGCATCCATAGATGCTTCTCAAGCAAATCCCGGAACGTCATTCTCCCGTTGTACTTGGCCTTGGTGAGGCCGCAGCTGGAGTACTGCATCCAGTTTTGGGCTCCACAATTCAAAAAGGTTGTGGAAAAGCTTGAGAGGGTGCAGAGGAGAGCCACAGGCATGATCAGAGGGCAGGAAAACAGACCTTATGATGAGAGGCTGAGAGCCATGGGACTCTTCAGCCTGCAAAAGTGCAGGCTCAGGGGGGACCTGGTGGCCACCTATAAGTATCAGGGGTGCTCACCAGGATCTGGGGGAACATCTGTTCACCAGAGCACCCCAAGGGATGACAAGATCGAACGGTCACAAACTCCGCCATGACCAATTCAGGCTGGACATAAGAAAGAACTTCTTCACTGTCCGAGCCCCCAAGGTTTGGAATAGACTGCTGCCGGAGGAGGTTCAAACACCCACTTTGAACCCCTTTAAGACACATTTAGATGCTTATCTTGCTGGGATCCTATGATCCCTGCTGACTTCCTGCCCCTGGGGCAGGGGGCTGGACTAGATGATCCTCCGGGGTCTCTTCCAGCCCAAATGTCTATGAAATCTGTCTCAGTTGGCAGGCACATGTACCTGCGACCTAAATAGGAATCCAGGCATCTACAGAGATTTCAGAGAAGCCCTGACTTGCCTCCCATGCCATCGTAGTTCAGGTGTGCCTCGAGCATCATGATCAGCAAGATGCTGCCGCTTTCCTTCCCCCATTACAGATATTTGTCAAGTGAGAAGGGACTCACTCCCAGAACCTATGCACCCTGAGCATGCCTCTATGTTGACTTTCATCTGCCCTTGAACCTTATTCTGGACCCTTGTAGTAACTGTACTGGGTGGACTGAACTGACATAACATGTGAAGAACCACTAGCAATGCTGATGGGTGCTGGGAATGGCTACCCCTGTTAATGCCCCAAGCTCTTCCAGCTGTAGTGTTCTCTGGGGACCTCCTTCAGTGATTTTTCCAAGACTGCCAGGAGAACTGCATTCTGGGACATCCCTAAGGTTGTGTTATGGAGCAACAGGGGAGATGTGAATTAAACTGGTCTGGCAAGTCCTTTGGTTAAGTGCATGGTAACAGTGCAACCTGGCTTGCCTTAATATCCCCTGGAATTACTTTCTCTGTGGTCAAGCCTAGTCAAAGCAGCATTTGGCAGGAACATATATGTTGAATAGAGCTGATGCACTGTGCAAGAATCAATGGGTTTGCTCTATGTTGCAAGTGAGTCACTGGAGCTAAATCACGCAAGCAACAACTGACTTTAAAAGCCCCTGCGGGAAACTGCATGTCCCCACTGGGCTTGAGGATCTTTTCTAGGTGTCTTTCCCTCCTAATTGTAAGGGCTTTCTCAGCATTAGGTGCTGTTCTTGGGAGACAGCAAGATCTAGTGGGGCTTGGGACACCTGGGACCTGTTTTACCTCTGCCTCCGACTTGCTTTGTGACTTAGACAAGTCCCTACCCCTCTGTTTCTTTTGTCTGGTCAAACTGTAAAGTGCAAAGGTAACTGCTATACATGGCCGAGCACAATCAAGATGGGATCTTGCTTAAGTTCTGTAGGGTCTTCTGAGATGCAGGGGCTTAATAGTGAATATTGCAATGGAAATAGTTATATGGTATTGCAATAGAAACCAGTAGTGATATAAACATTGAGCAGCATCTGTCATACAAGGAAGGTTTCAAAGAGCAGTGCCACCAACAGTGGAATAAGAGAGAAATGGAGTGTGCCAGAGAACACATGACAAATTTACCCTTGTACGACGTTCCAAAGTCATGTTTACCCAAAGAACCTTGTCTGACAAAACCATTATGCATTAGCCCAGATACCAATCGCCTACCTTTTTGTTCCTGGACAGCCTCCTTTATGGGAACCACAGTGTGAGCTCAGCGAGCCTGGAATTTGTCACACTAGATAGAGGAGGATTTGATCTTGCTTGCCAAAAAAATTCAAGGCCTCCCCATGTTTCTTACCTACCCACTCCCTTTCTGCTCCATTGGATGCTGGTGCATGCAGCTGCTAGGCTATACTGACAACATTTGCCAGCACCTTGTTTGGGCCCAGGTTCCTTTGTGGAAAGATCAGTCTGCACTGAGGGCCGGAGACATATTTTTCCATTCTCTCCCAGCACTGGCTGATGCAGCCGGGGCAGAAGCTGTACCCACAGCCCATGATCATCACTGGGTCCTTGAAGAACCCCAGGCAGATGAAACAGGTTGTGTCATCCTCGAGATTTTCTACAGGGCTCCTTGTGGCCATGGCTCAGAGGGGTAGTCCAACTGGGTTAGTTTT